AGGACTGAGAAATCAGGGTCCCCTGTGGAAGCCGCCCAGCCTGCGCTGACTTGCTGTGGTGACCTGCCTGAGGCCCCCTGTGCAGGGCGCACTGCTGAGGGACAGCTGGCTGAGTGGGCGGGGCGCACTGCTGATGGACAGCTGGCTGAGTGGGCGTGGCGCACTGCTGACAACACTGCTGACGGACAGCTGGCTGAGTGGGCGGGGCGCACTGCTGAGGGACAGCACTGCTGACAGACATCTGGTTGAGTGGGCGGGGCGCACTGCTGATGGACAGCTGGCTGAGTGGGCGGGGCGCACTGCTGATGAACAGCTGGCTGACAGGGCGGGGCACACTGCTGAGGGACAGCTGGCTGAGTGGGCGGGGCGCACTGCTGATGGACAGCTGGATGAATGGGCGGGGCACACTGCTGACGGACAGCTGGCTGAGTGGGCGGGGCGCACTGCTGATGGACAGCTGGATGAATGGGCGGGGCACACTGCTGACGGACAGCTGGCTGAGTGGGCGGGGCGCACTGCTGATGGACAGCTGGCTGAGTGGGCGGGGCACACTACTGATGGACAGCTGGTTCTAGTGGGCAGGGCGCACTGCTGATGGACAGCTGGCTGACTGGGCGGGTGCACTGCTGATGGACAGCTGGCTGAGTGGGCGGGACGCACTGCTGATGGACAGCTGGCTGAGTGGGCGGGGTGCACTGCTGATGGACAGCTGGCTGAGTGGGCGGGGCGCACTGCTGATGAACAGCTGGCTGAATGGGCGGGGCGCACTGCTGACGGACAGGTGGCTGAGTGTGCCAATGCTGGCTGGGAGGCTGCAGCATCAGTCAAGGCCGAAGATGATTGTCTCTGTGGAAATGAGGCTGCGCAGCACCGGTGAACGACTGGCTAGCTTTCCTCCAAGGCTGCCCGGGGGGCTTCCAGTCTGTCCTCTCCCCGCTCCCCGCCTGCCCCCGGCTTCGGGCAGCCGAGCTGCACCTCCAAGCACCCTATGCAGCGTTTCTTTCATCAAAGGTCTCAATGCCTTAAAAAAATTAGCCACTAATTTAAGTGGTTCTGTCTTGGCCTAGAAGGGCCCACAGAGACCTGTGTCTTCACTCAGTCCACTGCTACTCAGGAAGGTTCCAGAAACATCCAGTCGCTATGAGAACTGTTTAAACTGATTCCAGACACCTGTTCTCACCCAAGCTGCCAGGTATTCACTGCCACGGAGACGTCAGCAGTAAGGTGGGCAGGGAAGGCAGGGAAGGCAGGGAAGGCAGGAGCCCAGTTTTAAACCGAACATTTTAACAGCGAGTCCGGCAAATCGAAGCAGTCAGGGAAGAAGTGGATTTTGAAAACACAGTCTGAAAGCACACACGAACCACCTGCCCACGAGCACTGAACCGTGATGAAAATCCGGTTCTAAAAGCTCAAGACTCATCTTCCAGAGTCAGCATCCTCATGTCCGCGGCCAGAATAGTATGAGACGGCAAGTGTCCAGCCAGAGGCCGGCCTAAGGACACGTGCTCATGAGAGCGAGGCCACGGAGGTCCCTGATGCGGTGGCCACCTCATGCCCGAGGCCGCTCGGGCACTTGCTGTATATATTGCCCCACTGGTCCTTACACGGTGACACAGGGAGTCAGGGCTTTGACACAGGGCTGGGGGAGCAGGGACGCCATTCAGCGGACAGCGGCCCCATTGCCTGCAGGAGGCAGAGGGGGGACTAGACGCAGGGACCCGAGACCCCAGAGCCAGAGTGTTGAATGCCCCCTTCGCTCCCTCCCCTCCACTCTGGGGCATTCTCGCACTGGGGTCAGATTTTTCTCTTTCTCTTTTTCCTTTGCCCTGGTAGTCGGACGCCCAAGAGTACAAAACAGCTTTGCTACAGGACAGATGAAATATTGCTTCACAACTCAACTTGGACCATCAGAGGCCTGGGAGCACCCATCATTCATTCTTTGGAGACAATATGCCACGAGAACAAGCCACGCCCAGCTTCGCCCATGCCAGCTACAGAGCGTCAGCGAAAAGCAGGAACGAGAGGGCTGAGTCAGGATCTCCGAGGCTGCACAATTCGCCCCCCGGGCAGTGAGCGGGCACATAATTAATACAGGCGGGGTGTCCCTAGAAGCCGAGCAGCAGTTGCTCAGGTGCTCCCCACCTGCGGGGGAGGGAGGCAGCCAGCAGGAGCCAGCGGGGGCTCTGCAGGGCCTCGGTGCAGCAGAGGGCCAGGGCCTCCTCACGGCCACCGTGAGAGGGGTTTTGAGGGCAGGCTGTTATGCCAGACATTCTGGGTTCAAGTCCCATCTCCGCTCACTAGGGGTGTGACTCGGCTACCTCATCTGTTAAATGGGGATAATAACATGAGGGTGTAGTAGCAAAGTAAAGAGGCTGTTAGGGGTAGAAAAAGTCACTGATCAAGGACCAGTGTTAGTGGTCACTTCCCTACAAGAATTAAAAACCTTAGGGCACGGGGGGTGGTCTCGAGTGTGAATCACAATTCAGCCGACTCAGGCAAGGTAAGGAGCTGCTCTGAGCCCTGCCTTCCCCTCCGAGCCGCGGAGCCCCAAACCCTCACCCACAGGGCCCTTACGAAGCCTGCAGTGCTGCAGATGACTGTGGGGTGCACGGCTGACTGTGTGGCCGGCACAGTGCTGTTTTCTGGAAACACCTCCCAGTCTCCCTCTGGAGTTCCCCTCCCTCAGGCTCTGCTCCTGGGTCTCAGGGGGAACCAACCTCCACGCCTCCCCCTCTGCTTCTGGGTGGGCACGTGACGCACGCCAGGTCCACCGTGCCAGCCCGCGACCTTCAGCCTCCGCGGGGCCTGCCCAGCTAGGAGGAGACACGGGCTCGTAAACAAACTGACACGCAGGGGACACCAGGGGCTAGAGACCAGGTCGGCTGGAAGTCCGCTCTCGGTGATGAAGCCCCAGACCCCCCACGGTGCTGAAGCAGATGTGTTTGTCCCCTGTACCGCATTAAAGCCTGATGACAGACACTGAGCCTGTACTCACTACAACTCAAGGGGCACTGTCTGTCTGTCTGTATCATCCATCTCTCACCCATCTGTCATCATCACATACATGCACATACATACAGGGTGGGGCAAAAATACGTTTACAGTTGTGAGTATGCGAGACACAGTTTCTTGGTGTACTAGTATTTATTAAGTATTGTATTATTTTCCATGTGAACAACTGTAAACCTACCTTTGCCCCACCCTCTATACAGAACTCCATATAGCGAACAACGTTTCCATGTACAGAAAATATACTTTCATCTCTTTTCCTCTCAGTTAATTCTTGAAATAGGCCTCACAGTAAACAGGTAAAAGTCTCCGTTAAGAGGTGAAAATCTGAGGCCAGAGACTCTGAGAGGCAACTCCAAAACCAAGCTGCTGGTGGGAATAAGGGCCACCAGAGGGGTCTCATTTAGCCGGCACTTTCATGGAATTAGGGGCTCTGTCATTAACTGGTTGGTGCCTTGGAGACCAAAAATGAAGCACCCAAAACTGGTGCCCAGGAAGGGACCACTCAGACATAATCCCGCCGCTCCAACACGTACTGCAGCCCACACATGCTCCTGACCCCCTGGCCCACTCGGAGTCTCCCCTGGGAAAACTCAAGCCCACAGATCTTCATCTCCACATTCACACTGGCAAGATTGTCAGGAACAGCCCAAAATAATGTCTGTGACAGCATCACGGTTAGATATCTTACTGAACTTCTCCAAGCGGAATGCTATGTAGCCGTTAAAAAGGATTTCCGAGAAGTCTGCAGGAATGAGATAATGCTCCTACCAAGCCCTTAATTTGAAAAAGCAGGATACAGCATATTCTGTATGTGTTTTTTTTTAATCTTCACCAGAGGATATTTTTTCCATTGATTTTTAGATAGAGTGGGAGGGAAAAGAGAGGGGAGGGAGAGAGAGAGAGGAAGAGGGAGAGAGACACATCGATCAGAATGCGCAGGGGTTTGTCGCATCCCTGCTGGAGGCCCCGAGAGCCTGCCCGAGTAACACAGAGCTCGGTCTTCCCCACAGAAATGCCGAGGACTGCGGCGTGTGCCAGGCGTGCCTGGGTGCCCCCAAACAGGACAATCCCTGCCCCTGCTTGCTTTATGACCCAGTGTTCAGAGTAATCAAAACAACTGGTGACTTTAGGAATACGGACTAGACCCGACCTTCCCCCAGGTCACCTCTGATGCTCGAAGACCCATGAGCGGCCAGCTGAGGTCAGAACGAAGGCTTGTTGCCTGGAACAGTCTGTCCTCTCCCGGCAGCTCAGGAACACTTAGCCGGTGCCTCCAGGGTGCCTGAGACTGTCAGACTCCCAGAAACAAAGGAGCCAGGAACAGCGCTTGCTTTTGAAGGCTCCTGGCCTACGTTCGCCTAAGCTGGACGAAGGGCACACACGGGACTGGGTTAGAGGGAGCTGGGGAGCCAGGGCCAGTGGAAGCGTCAGGAAGAGGTGTCGCATGCAAAGGCACTGAGGCAGCGAACCACTAGCAGGGTGGCACTTCTTGGGAGCACATTTAAAGCAGAGATGATAACTAGGGATGGGATGGAAAGAAGGTTCCAGAACATGGGTCCCGGCTGGCCTTCGTGGGCTGGATTCAGAACTTGGGGTTTAGGGTGTCCACGTGGTCCAGCCATCCTGAGCCTCCTCGCCAACTGTCTCCCAAAACGTTCAAGTGCCCTCAGAAGACGGGATTTGACCCTCTCTTCTCACATTCCACGTGTCCTCACACAGACAACACCCTTCTAGATCTATTTTCAACTCGGACTCGGCGGGTAAGGAACGAGATTAAAATGAAAATCGAGCACATGCTTAAAGATTTCATCAGAAAACGTAGGCGACAGGCTACTCATCCACAGATGTACTCTGCAAATATCCAAAAGCACGTCCGAACCCGGGAAAGCTCACTCCTTCCTCTGTGCAACGCAGAAGACTCGGGGGCAGAGCCCGGCCGTGGCTCGGGCGTGCGTGTTGGGGTCGTGAGGGGCGCGGGGTCCACTCACCACAGGTTGACCAGGAAGGGGTGCTCCAGGCCCTGCATGATCCGCAGCTCCCGGAACACGTTCCGCACCTCGTCCCTCTCGATGCACTTCTGCTTGTTCATGTACTTCATCGCGTACATCTTCTTCGTGTCTCGCTTCTGCACGATGCATACCTGGGCGACAGCCGAACGGGAGAACGGTCACCAGCACCGAAAGCAGAGCCCAGCCCCCACTGCACCTGCAGGCTGGGGTCTGAGTAGCTGGCAAAGGAGCTCAGGATGCAGGAAATGGAAGAGGCAGCCCTGCCTCCAAGGAGCTCAGGGAGGAGACAGACAAGGCGCCGGGTCTACGGGCCTGAGATAACGGGCCAGCGCCCACCGCACCCCGACCCTCCCCGCTCCAGCGCGTCCTTCCACCCCCGCGCTTACTTCTCTGCCAGGAGAGCCTGCTTTGCGGCCCATGCCACAGGCCAGCAGTGCCAGGGCCGAAGGAGGAACACCCCAGGCCGCCTGCCCGTCTGGCGGAATAAGTCTGGCGCCCCCAGAGTGGCAGAGTTTGCCCACAGGGGTGACCGGCTCTGTGGTGTCCCCTTTCCTGGCAGTTTCCTGACTCACTGCGCCCCTCGCCCATCTTGCTTCCCCACCTCTCCTGTGCCCTGGACTCTGATCCTGGCCTCCCAGCTGCTCCTGGGAAAACCCAGACTAAGGCTCAGGCCACTGGCGGAGCAAAGACGCCACAGCGGCAGTAAGGACGGCTCCTGCGGGCGTGGCTCTTGCTGCCGGCCACACTGAGCTGTCTCCTTCCTGTTCATCCCCCACGACCTGGTGGATACGGTCGGCCTCCCTCCAGCGGGAGGAAGCAGTAGCCCCGGGCAGACCAATGAACTCGCCCGGAGTTCAACAGACTGCTCAACAGCGGGGCGGAGATTCAAACCCACGGTCTGAATTTGAGTGAGTCTTTCACTAGGGGCGGCCGGGGCAGGGTGGGGGGACGGACGGTCAGAGGAATCTCTCCGGAGACATTCATGGGGGGCGGTGGGGGGTGACTGTGAACGGACGGCAAGATGTAAAGGCAAAGGAAGAGCGGCCAGGGGGAGGGCACGCTGCAGCAGAGGAGGGTTCGAGCCTGAGGACTCAGCCAGGAGGAGGGGCTGCAGGGCGAACGTGAACTGTGTGCCATGACCGAGAAACAGGGACTGCATCGTCCCATCGCGGCTGGGCCCTGACGCCCTCCTAGGTAAACTGAGGGCTTGGCTCTATTTTCTAAGGCATCTTGGGGACACTCTGTTTCGCAGGACACAGGGCTAAGAGGGCTGGCCCGGGGTCAGGAGAGCTGGGCTCTGCTCCTGGCCCTCTTGCCACCAGCAGTGGCCCTCGCCCAGATCCCTGGCCCCCCGCCCTTGCTTCCGCTTTGGTCAGGTGAGGCTGGTGGGAAGCAGCTGAATCAACCTGACCAGGAGATACAGAGAGGCTAAAATGGAAAAAGAAAATATCTAAGGAAGTCTAGTGCACTGGGTAAGACAAAGACTGTGGTCTGTGAGGTCACTCTGACCAGGGCTATATTCTAGGTCTTTGCTGTGTGACCACGGGCAAGTCACCCACCCTCTCTGAGCCTCAGTCTGGTCAGCAGTAAAACGGGAGGGATGTTCTTAGCACAGGGAGGGAAGGTCTGTGAGGCTGTGGCATGGGGCCAGCAGTGAACGGAGGCCAGCTTCCTCTCCTCTCCTGAGGTTATGCACCCAGAATGTCCCGGGCAGAGGCTCTCGGTAACCGGCAGTCATAACTATGCTCTGTCATCATAACCATCACTCGAGAGTCACCTGAAGGGAAGGCTGGAGTGCTGTGAGGAAGGTCTGCTCCCAGGACTCAAGGTCACAGATCTTTCTGCCCCAATGGCCAGAGCCAAGTGTGCCTGGGCAGCGCAGGGCGACATGTCCACTGACTAGCCAGGGTGGCTTGAGCCAAGCCCTTCACGCTGCAGAGCCAAGAAGTGAGGACACACGGGGGCAGCCCCCAGACTGTCTCAGGCAGGACGACTGAGGCACAGAGAGTGGACTGAAGGTCACAGGGGAGAGGAGCACCAGCTGCAGTCCTGGCCGACCGGCTGTCCCCAAAGAGAGATGCGGGTCTGACCCCCGCAGCCTGGGAACGGGATCCACAGCACATTCCGTTCCCTCTGCGTACATACCCTTCCTGCGGCATGACCCCCTCCTGACCCGAAGGCCTCCCCCAGCCGCACCTCCGGGCCTGGGTCCCCCACGCCCTGCGTGGTCCCCGGCAGGTGGACGGTCCTTCCTGCCTGGGGTTTACAGCGTGGGAGGAGGGGCTTCTGTTCCTCCCAGCTCTGATCCCATGGCAACCCTGTGACTGCGGGAACCTGGGAAACCTCTGCACACTTCCACCTCCTGAGCTCACAGTGGCGTCCTGGAGGGACGCTGACACTCCGCACCAACATGACCCGCCCAGGTCCCTGGGACACCCCACGTTAGCCTGGAAGAGGTGGGTCCTGGGGCACCCCGGCTCCCTGGCAGGGCAGCTCAGAGTCCTTTCCACAAGAACGCACAGCTAACGAGGCGGACGAAGAGCAATTTGGCCAAAGCCACCCAGGCGGCTAAAAGGCAAACACCCAATTAACATTCTTCATCAGCCTGATTCAATGAGGAACTGATGTTATCATGACTACGGTTTATTGGGACAAGGAAATCAATGCTGCTAGTGTGGATTGCAGGCGCTTTGCCAAAAGAGGCCGGTGGCGAGCACACACACATCAGAAACTGGGGAGCGGGTCTCAAGTCAGTAGGGAATGAGGTGACCAGCACTGATACCCACGGCGTCCGGTCTCTGGCTGGACTCTACTCGGAGCTTCTCCGTGTCAGGCACCTGCAGCTCTGGGAGGGCCTGGAATTCTGTGCTTTTCAAAAACTCCCCTGTGGGCTCTGACGTGCAGACTGGTTGAGAATCACTGTGCTAGAACCTTCCAGAAAGCCTTCGGCTGGCTGCGTCTTCAGTAACGCTGATGCCCAGGATTCTAACCCCTACTTCACAGCTCGGGCAAGCCAGCGCAGGAGTCCAGCTGGGGCCCAGAACTGGGGGGTGCAAGGCGGCGCTGCCCCTCTTCCCTGACTCAGCTGACCTTCCCCGTGCTGCCCACCTCACCCCCCTGGAGTGTGCCTAGCAAACACTGATGAGTGAACAGACAGCTGGAGTGTGACATTCAAGGGCACTATTACGGCCCTGGCTGGGTTGCTCAGTGGTTTGAGCAACGGTCTGCAGACCACAGGGTCACAGGTTTGATTCCTGGTCAAAGGCACGTACCTGGATTGCAGGTTTGATCCCTGGCCCCAGTTGGAATCTTGGGGGAGGCAACTAATAGATGTCTCTCTCACATCGATGTTTCTCTCTCTCTCTCTCTCTCCCTCTCCCTCCCTTCCACTTTACCCAAAATAAATCAATAGAAAAACATCTTCAGATGAGGATTAACAAACAGAGACCTAGATCTATAGGTAGACAGAGAGACATCGATAAATGCACTATTATGTTTGTAGAAGATTCTTGGAAACAACGAATTTGGGGGAAATCAGGATTAAATACCATTACTAAGGAGAGTGACCATGCTGGGCCCATTGTTCATCTGTCCTAAGCTGACAGGAGGACTTTGCAGACAATGATGGCTGAGGGCTGAGCGCATCCTCCCTCTTCCTCTATAACAGGGCAACCCTCTTCCTCAAGGAGGCAATGTGACCCCTTAAAGCCTCGCAGCCAGAGCAGCCGTGGCGCTGCCCAAGAGATTTGTTAGTCTGCTGGAGGCTTCTAACCGTGTTCTACAGGGAGTCCTGTGTCTGGATGACAGGGAGGAGCTACAAATGGCCCACTTTTCTCCCCTCCACCTCTTTGTCTTTCCTGCCTTGAACATATATGCAATGTCTGGAGCTGCAGCAGCCCCTTACGGCCATGAGGCCTAAAGCACCTCAGAGATGCTGAACCTGGTGTCATGGAGCCACCTACCTTCAGACTTCTTGTCATGTGGAAAAAATAAACCCCTCTTTGTTTAAGCCACTATAAGGCAGGTTTTCTGTTTCTCCCTGCCGAGCACATTCGCATTTGATACACGAAGTGTACGACGGAGACAGGCCAGTGAGCCAGGACGGGTGGAGTCGGGAAACTGAGGCAGACAGCTGAACTAACCGACAGAGCAATTTACAGCAGACACAGAAGGTGCCCTCCCGAGAAATAGCATCCAGGCCTCAGTTGTGTTTCAGCTCCAGGCCCAGAAAAGCAGCAAGTCCAGGTGGGCGGCACCAGGACCAGCTGCAGTGACTGACAGTCCCCTGCTCTGACACTGACCAATCAGTGAGGACATGACCCCAAAGGCGCACACTAGAAAACTGGTGAGTATTCTGTTAAAATCCTCCCAAGACCTCCCCGAGGGTTCCCGCCTGCAAGAGAAAAATAAAAGCCAAGACCACACCTCCTCCCCCCTCCCGTCCTTCCCCACAGGCAGCATCTCCGAAACGCTAAGGGACCCCGTGAACCTTGCAACCAGGGCAGCAGTGGGCAGCGGCAGCTTGTCCCAGACAAAGCCCCTGAACCTGTCCCCAAGGTCCCCTTTTCTCTGACTTCTCAGTGAGCCAACGCAGGCCAGCCTGAGCTCATTCCCAACCCTTCCTGTCTCACTGTCCCTGTGAAAAACATCCTCTAAAATTCACCTGGACTCATGTGGTAAGGTTTTTCCGACACGAAGTCAAGGACCCACACACTAGGCCTAGGTCCCCTTCCCGGTAACAGCTTCAGGAAGATGGAGGACTAGGGATGGGGAAGAAATGCATTTTGAGAGAGGGCACAGCCCTACTGGAAGCAGAGCCGTGGGACGTGCTGTTAGCGTGTTAGCTGTGCCTGTGGCTTTCTCGCATTCCTCATCTGCAGAATGGGGATAAGAGTAGCACTGACCTTAATGAGCGGTGAGGAGGCTGCATGGTAATACTTACTAAATTATTATTGTTCCTGTGACTACGATCGTCATCCATACATGTTCTGACAGTAAGAGCGGAGACTGTTGTAGAGGTGGACAGAAGTGGCCCAAGAAGGGCCTCAGGAATAATTTCCCAGTTGTCCGGTGTGGTGGTTAATTTTATATGTCAGCTTGGCTGAGCCATGGTGCCCGGGTATGTGAGCAA